GTTGGGCAAGATTGCTGCAGTCAGTGACTATCAAGGCACCATTACCATCAATTTCTACACCTTAGGAACCTTCCAGTCTGGAGCCTGCAATATTTCCGTCATCTCTCTTTGTTCATTGTATCCTACTGCATCTGGAAGATCACCAAAACCCGTTACACTAAAAAATTGACTTTCTTGTTCTCTCTGTAAGCAGAGAACAGCAAGGAGGAACGAGTAGGTAACATTTTCTAGCATAGTGATGCAGGAAGCCACTGAAGGTACACTAGTGGCCAACAAGTGACACATTCGACAGGGAGGTGTACCACAATCACATTGAGCTCCACTCCCTGAATGTACAGTTGGTGTACAACAATGCTCAAGCATCATTTAAGAGAATGTCCAATACCCTGACAGCAAACTTTTACTTTCATCCTGTGCAGCACAGTTGCTCCTACCATCACTGAGCCATCCTGTAGTACCAGAAGTCAGCTGCTTGGCAACATGATTTATTTATTTTATGTGTGGCTCAGGACCCCCTGCTGCCACCCAACCACATATGAACAGTATAACAAGAGTCATGCTACAATTAGGAAGTTTCAGTGCAAACCTAGGCATTCTTATAAAGATGTCCTGCTGTCTGAACTGTCAGGGAGAGCACCCTAGTAGGCAGCAGAACATGCCTCCAAATTTCATGATGGTCTGCTACATTTAATAGAACCTGGAAATCAATCCTTGCAACCAAACTGTCAGTGAACAGCTCTAGAGGAGGAAGAGGAAGTGAGGAAGGAGGAGGAAACCGAGGAGCAGCAAAGGAGGAGACATCCAGGACACGATTGTTCTCGATGGGCTGACATGAAAACATGCAACATCACCATTGCTCAGAATTCCCCAGTTTTCCATCTCAATGTTATCATATACCAGGATGTCCTTTTGGCAGTGACTCCTGAAAAAAAACCATTGTGTGCCAACTTTATTCAACAATACTTCCAACGATACATACAAAACTGAATGATTCACACTTGTGCATTCCCTTAGAGCCCATCTTGTTAGTGTCATTGCCTAGTTTAGGATTCCCATCCAGTGACTGTACCATAGCTAGTGGAAGCTACTGACGTTCAGTGGGGGATAAAGCTGACAGCCTTGTAGGACGCCCTCAAACTTTTGTGCCTTCTTGGCTTAGGTGGCTCTAGTTTGAGTTGGCTTGGAAAGAGGCATTGGCAGAGTGTTAGTCCAATTGGATTCTATGAGATATGAGATAAAACGAGCTTCAAAATTCATGGTCAGAGTGCTGCAAATAAAAACAACACTCAGCACAAATACACAGAGGTTAAATTTGGTAGTGGCTCAGCATGAGGAATTCAACATTGTCTGAATGCTATCATAGGGCAATGGTGCAAGGAAATGCCAATACCTACCACTGCCCGATGCAGTCAAGAGATTGATCATCTAACACCTAATATTAGAGCTTAACAATTGGGACTATGATGAGGTCCTGTTCAGGAGGGAATGGATAATTCAAATCTTTGTCCAGCTAAGGCCTAGGTACTCTTGCCATGTCATCTCCAAACAGCAAAAGAGATATTCCAAACCATTGTAAATTGATCGTATTGTCTTGACTTTCTTCATTGTTCAACTGACAATACCTGCCTGAACTGTGGGAACTACACTGAGGAGGATTAGCTCTCACACATCATGATCAACAGGAAAGTGTTTGATGTGGTTGTGATATGCTTGACATAAATCACAGTAAAAAATGGGGACAAACTGAAGTGACTGAGCTGCAGTCGGCAGAAGGGTCAGGAGCGGTCAGTCTGACTCGGGCCTACAATCAATGCCATATAGAAGAGCCCTGAAGGGCAAGTGTTCCAGGCAAATCACAGTGACCTTGTCTGGAGGGGCCTACAATCATGAAGGAGGTTCAGGAACGGTAAACCAGGCTCATTGATTGTCAGTTATCAGCCTAATCTGAGGGGTATTGGGCTGAGACGTTAAGATAACCTAAAGTAACAACCAAATCCAGGGCTTGGGTCTGAAGTACATAAGATTTGGGGAAAAACATGAGGTCTTGCCTGTGGTTTCCTGATAAAGTTTTCTCTCCTAATACATTATGGTTACTGTGTGTTTTGGCTGGGAGCCAAGGTTAAATAGGAGAGAGATTTAAAATGGACAAACCAATCAAGGTGTTGTGAAAGGTTTAAACAAGTTCAGAAGTATTGTATCAGGATATTTGGTTTACTTTAGTTAATAATGTTGTGGCTGAGCCAAATGCTGTGACCATGTGAATTTGTTCTTTATAAAAAATCCCTAAAGTCCAAGAACTATTGTAAGGGGAACAGGATTGGGGACCACATTTAATTCTACCTCTTTAAAGTATGCAAAGAGTCAGCATTAGATCTGGTAGCTGCAGGTCTCATCTCGTAATGGTGCATTTTCTGCAGAAGTTTACTCTCCATCTAGCTAGCAGGCAAGGCAGCATTCTTAGGTATCTGAAAACATGAATGCAGAAATGTTGTGTTAGGGCTGAAGGTTTTGGGTGGGAAATGAGAAGTGTGTGGCTACACTACCTGTGTCTCATACTTCAAAATGTATTGTGGGATCTGGCAGAGGAATTACAAAAGGTTCATAGGGCATTCTGGATGGTTTTGGCAGTGCCAATTCCAATTTGCACACAAAATACCACAGATGCTGTAAATCTGAAATAAACACAGAAAATGCTGAAAATAGGCAGCATCTCAAGCAGCACATGTGAACAGAGAAACAAAATTAACCTTTCCAGTCATATTGATGGAAGGTTAAAGCCTGAAACACTGACTTGGTTTCTCTCCACTACCGATACCAGACCTGTTGAGTATCTCCAGCATTTCCTGTGTTTATGCCAGCTGCAATTTCTCCAGTGACTGTCACATCAATAATTTAGAGCGCCAGGGGATGGCGAGGTGCAGATGTGCTTGTCCACAGCCATCACTCCAGTTCTTGGCTTCTCCTTCCACTTATATGTCATGTTGCCTCTCAAGAGAGAGGGAAATATTTCACTGAGTTGTTTCTCTTTTATCCATTCATGGGATGTGGGCATTGCTGGCTAGGCCAGTATTTACTGTCTGTCCCTATTATCCAGAGACCAATTAAGAGTCAACCACATTGCTGTGGGTGTGGAGTCACGTGTAGGCCAGACCAGGAAAAGGGAGCAGATTTCCTTCATTCGATAAAGTGTTATGCAATTGGTTTGGGTGATGTTCCAGTCAGTGTTGAATATCTGTAAGCATGTAGGTGAGTATGTGAAGTCTGGAGTAGTGTGAAGTGTGCAAGGTGAACTGGGGCATATGAATGATATACATAAGTTCTGATAGCTAGAGATCGCTGATTAGCGAATGGCAGTTTCCACTTTCACTTTCTCTGATGTAGCCTTGGCAGCTCTTGGCAGGGCAAGCCACTAACTGAGAGGTGAAAACAAAAATGCTGGAAATACTCAGCGATGAGTGAAAACTGTACAATGAACTAGCCACTGGAGCACAAACTGCTGAACATCCATAAATCCATTACAAGGACACTTACAAGAGACACATGAAGACAGCAGACAGTGACACGACTGACTCAGAGAGAGTCATTGATGGCCATGATCTCTGCAGGTTAGTTGTCTGGAAGGGCATTGGAAGAGGCGAGCAGAAGTAAAATGTTTGGCTGACCAAGAAGAGGGCTCAGAGAAATTAGTTACCAGCAAGTCTTGTGCCTCTAAACCCTTCCTGTGCAGCAAATGTGGTAGAGTCTGCAATTTCATTGTGGGACACCTGACCTAAACTAGGCTATGTTTTACATGGAGTTGAATGGCACAGAGTAAACCATTGTTTCACAAGATGGAAAGCTGCCAAGAGTGATAGAGCTATAATGCACTTAGCAATGTACGAGGATTGTATTTGACCTTGACTAATTGTGTGAAATCATTGAAATTTTTGCACCACTCTGTCAACTTATTGGAATCAAACCTATTGCGTTTTCCTTATTTGCTCTCATTCCTTTTGGAATGTTTGCCTGAGGGCTTCCTGGATCCCTATGAAAACTTGAGATGTCTCCTTCCCAGTTAGGACAGCATGGTGGCTCAGTGGTTAGCACTGCTGCCTCACAGCGCCAGTGACCCAGGTTCGATTCCACCCTCGGGCAACTGCCTGTGTGGAGCTTACACATTCTCTCCGTGTCTGCATGGGTTTCCTCCAGGTGCTCCGGTTTCCTCCTACTGTCCAAAGATGTGTAGGTTAGGTGGATTAGCCATGCTAAATTGCCTGTAGTGTTCAGGGATGTGTAGATTAGGTAGGTTTGGGGAATGGGTCTGGGTAGGATTCTCTGAGGCTTGGTGTGACTTGTTGGGTTGAAGGGCCTGTTTCCACACTGTAGGGATTCTATGAATAAAGTTCCTGGGCTAACACCTTCAGTGCTACATTGGAGAAGATGGAAATCCTGTCCTTCACCCATTGCTCTATTTTTACATTTTTCCCTATGTGAGAAACACTTAGAGGCACACTTCCTATGTCTGCTACAGCCAGAATGCGATTCTCACCTACAAATTAACTTCAGGAAATGCAGAAACAACAAGGTGTAGAGCTGGATGAACACAGCAGGCCAAGCACCATCATAGGAGCAGTAAGGCTGACATTTCGGGCCTAGACCATTCATCAGAAATGCAGGCAAGTTTTAACTCATGTTAATGGGTTAAACCAGCTCTGTTGAATATTTAGCCCGAGTTTATCCCCGAAGCTGCCTTGCTTCCTCTGCTTCAAATATTTATAATACTTTTTCCTGGCATGATGGAATGATTTTGATCTTAAGCATTTCCCCTGGTAAAGCATTTCATGCTGCAACAATTCAAATCAATCCCTCTGAAACTCTCTGCGCAATAACAATTGTGAGCAACAATTTTAAGTTCGGAAAAGACAAATATATTCTTACTTCTTCATGGAAAGAAGGGATATGTTCTAGATGCTCAGGAAGCACAATGGGAAACTCTGTAAAGTGTGAATCCAACATAGATATCATGAATTATTGTGAAATTTAATTCAGTAAATCATAAAATTTCTGTATTCCACTCAGGAATTTACAGCTGGATTGTTGTTAAAACCCGCTCATACATTAATGTCATTTAGGGAAGAGAATCCAACATGATTAGTTTAAATCTTAATGATGTGATTGACTCTTTGTGGGCTCTCAAATAGCTGACAAAGTCATTCCATTGTAATTTCTTCACTTTGTAATAGTGCCATCTTGTGCCCATTCATGTGGCATGTGCATAAGAGAAAATGAAACCAGTCTCTTTTATAGGAGTAACATCAGTCAGGAAAGGTGTGACATACAACATAAAATCTCCAGTAGTTCGAGAATGCCCACTGCTTTCTTATTGGGATAAATCTAGAAATAGAAAATACAAAACAAGAGATAAGAGACATGAGCAGGATTAGTCCATTGGGCCTGATCCATGCTATTTAATGCAACAAATGATACATAAAATCCCTACAGTCCGGAAAGGCTATTTGATCCATTGAGTGCACCAATCCTCCAAAGAGCATCCCACCCTGACCCTCTGGTTTTGCTAATGTTTAACTAGGCAAGACTGAAATGAATCAACTCTCAAAAATCAGATTGACTAAGGAAGTGACTGACAACAGTCAACCTAAGAACAAGCTATAGGAGAACTGAAATTGTAATGGGATCCAAAGAAAACATTTCCTCTGCACCAAAAACAAATCTCTGGATTCAGTTTTGTGTTCAAACACAATAATTTTCATCATCAACCTCAAGAAACCAGACAGTGGCATCCCACTTCTTTCAAAAGGTAATTTTTTAATGCTTCTGGCGACAAAGAGCTTTGTTTTCGGAAAGGATCATTTGACACCCAGTTCACAGTATTTTCATGGGAAATATAACATGAAGATTGCATAGATTCCAGCCTCCTATATCCTGTAATAATGACTTTCTAACGACTTTCACACTAACTCCCCCATATCCATTGATTCCTTGACCAAAAATCTATCTATGACAGCTTTAATTATGATCAATAATGGATCATCCACAATCCTCAAGGGTACACAATTCCAAAGATTCACAATCCTTTCAGTGAAGAAATTTTTCCTTACTTCACTTTCAGTCCGTTATCCTGAGGCTGTGCCCCTATGTTTTAGATTCCTTACCTAGCTGTCAAGCCTTCCCAATACCTCCTACATTCTGAGAAAAAAAATTGAAAAAAGCTGTAGTAAACACAAAAATTTGTATGGGTGTATAAGTAAGGAGCCTTCAGTGCCTTAACATAATTATCTGCAAAATGGCAGATGCTTCCAAGACTACTAAACCAAATTTAAAAGAATGCAAGAAGGCACAAAGGTGGATATTAGGTATAACAGAAACCTGGACATTTTGTGATTGATCACACCCTTTTTAGAATTGTTGGAACAGATGTTTAAATAGGCAAAGATGAGATGCAGAATGTCCACAATATCCTATTAATGGTAGGTGTAGAGGTATGCTGACATATTGCTCTCTCGGCCATTTTGAAACATGTCAATTTATGGGGGGTGGGTGTCGAAGGGGAACAGTGACCTACCCACAAGCATACGAGGCATCATTCTGACCACTAACACCACACTATCGCTGCGGACTGAAATTTTCCAGTTGCCACCTGGGCCACCTTTGTAAGCCAAAAGATGATCCTGCTGGAATGGAGACAGATCTTAGCTGCAAACTGGAGTGGCTAGTGCTCCATGTAACATTTTTGATCTCTTTCCATTATATGTATCAGTGACCTTCAACTCTGCAAATGAGGATCTGTGAGACTGGTGGGCCACCATTGACTTTCATTGGACAGTGAAAACACTCTTCGGCCACGAATTGGCCAGATCGTAACAAAACATATCAGGTGTCAGGCATTGGCACAAAATGATACAGGTTTGGGACTTACAATTTCACCCAACCCCAGAATTAAAATCCAATCCTTTTCCTACAGAAACTGGAATAAAATATGCTCTGACATCTTGCCATAAACTTGGGATGAATGAGACATTACTGCTATAGATGCTGACCCTCTGAAGATCCTAAACTGAAATTCTCTTCAATACTTTCCGTAAGTAGTTTATATGTCCCCAAAAGGATTGGGCAAGCTAATACTAACACCACAACTGTATCATGCTTCTATGTAAGGAAATTCTTTCTTTTTTTCTCCTGCAATAATACCAAAATGCCAATACTCAACAACTCGATTCAACTGACATTGTTTCAATATTAGTACCATTACTGAAATATTAAGCAGACAACGCAAACTTTAATAATATTATTATTATAACAAAATGTTTAGCATCCAGTTCGATATTATGAGAAAATAAGGAAGAAAAAGGAGGCTTTTGTTGCATCTGGAATAATAATAGCAATAGAAATTGGGAAGAGTATCTCAAATGCAGGAGGGAGGCTAAGGCTGAATTAACGGAAGCTAAGGGGAAGCATGAAGAAAGGATGGTAGGCTGTGCTGAAACAAATCGTAAAATGTTCTTCAAACACATTAATAGTAAAAGACTACTGAAGGATAGAGTGGGGCCCATAAAGAACAAGCAGGGTAAGCCACTCACTGAAGCAAAGGGTATAGCAGAGGTACTAACTGAGATCATTGCATTCACCTTTACCAAATTAGAAAGTGGTGACAATGGACCAATTGAAAATGTGGGTCACCAGGAAAAACAGAAGTTGCTGGAAAAGCTCAACAGGTCTGGCAGCATCTGTGAAGAGAAATCAGAGTTAACGTTTCTGGTCCAGTGACCCTTCCTCAGAACTGTAAATTTGGATGTTCAGCAACGGAGCAGTAGAATAGCAGTAGGTAACTAAGAGTTGCTCAAAAGGCTTGCAGCGCTCCAGGTAGAGAAGTCACCAGACACAGATGGGGTGCATCCTAGATCGCTGAAAGAGGTAAGGCAGCAAATCGCAAAGCCATTGACAGAAATTTTCCAGATCTCTCTGAACACTGGATTAGTCCTGGGGGACGAGAGGATTGCAAATGTGATGGCATTGTTTAAGATAGGGGCAAAGGATAACCCAGAAAACTACAGATCTGTATGCTTGGGAAAACTGGCGGAGGCAATAATAAATGAATAAATATGTATTTAGAGAGAAACAAGTTAATACTAGACAGTCAACATGGCTTTATAAGAGCAGGTCAGGTCTGACAAATTTGTTCTTTGACAAGGTAGCACAGGCAATGGATGATGGTCGTGCTGTGGATGTTGTATATTTGGATTTTCAGAAGACATTTGATACATGCTGCATGGTAAATTGATTAGCAAATTAGAAATGTTTGGGATTGATGAATCCTTGGCAGCATGGGTTAGAGTTTGGCTAAAACAGAGCAAATAAAGGGTGTGGATAGATGAGCATTTCTCAGATTGTAGACAAGATGTAAGCGGTGTTCCCCAGGTATTGGTGTTGGGAACCTTGCATTTTCTGATTGATATAAATGTATGGAAATGTGTTCTGAGGGCAAATTCTCTAAATTTTTAAACATTAAGCAAGGAAGAATAGTGGATTGTGAGGATGACACTGAGCAACTTCAGAGGAACATTGACAAGTTGGCTGAATGGACAGAAACCTGGCAGATGAATTTCAATGCAGGTAATGTATTTTGGTAGAAGAAACATGGAGAGACAATGCAGTTTTAATGGTACAACTTTGAGGGGAGTACAGGAGCAGTGGGACCTCATGATTCAATATAATTCTCTGAAGGTGGCCAGGCAAGTTGAAGCAGCTGTTAGAAGTCTTCTAGGATTCTTAGGTTTATAAATCGAGGCATAGAGTATAAAAGCAAGGAAGTGATGCTACACCTCTGCAAATCGTTGGTCAGACCATATTTGGAGAATTGTGTTTAGTTCTGGACACTTTATTTAACGAATAATGTTAAAGCCCGGGAGAGAGTGCAAAGGAGATTTACTAGAATGATACTAGGAATGAGGATTTTATATATAAGGAAAGATTAGATAAATTAGACTTATTCACCTTGGAGAAGAGAAGATTAAGTGGTGACCTTATTGAAGTGTTCAAACTTATGAACAATTTTGACAGGGTAAAGAAAGACATTCTGTTTCCACTAATTGGTATAGAACATGAACATAGAACATAGAACAGTACAGGCCTTTCAGCCCACGATGTTGTACCGAACTATTGTCCTACTCTAAGATCAAACTACCCTGCATACCCTACATTTTACGATCCTCCATGTGCCTATCCAAGAGTCACTTAAAACTCTCCAAAGTATCTGACTCCACTACCACTGCCGGCAGCGCATTTCACACGCCCACCACTCTCTGTGTGAAGAACCTACCTCTGACATCTCCCTTATACCTTCCTCCAATCACCTTAAAATTATGCCCCCTCATAATAGTTATTTCCACCCCGGGAAAAAGTCTCTGACTATCCACTCTATTTATGCCTCTCATCATCCTGTAAACCTCTATCAAGTCACCTCTCATCCTTCTTCGCTCCAATGAAAAAAACCCTAGCTCTCTCAACCTTTCCTCAAAAGACCTGCGCTCCAATCCAGGCAGCATCCTGGTAAATCTCCTCTGCACCCTCCCTAAAGCTTCCACATCTTTCCTATAATGAGGTGACCAGAACTGAATACAATATTCCAAGTGTGGTCTAACCAGAGTTTTATAGAGCTGCAGCATAACCTCATGGCTCCTAAACTCAATTCCCCTGCCAAAGAAAGCCAATACATCATATGCCTTCTTTACAACCCTATCAACTTGGGTAGCAACTTTGAGGGATCTATGGACGTGGACCCTAAGATCCCTCTGTTCCTCCACACTGCCAAGCATCCTGCCATTAACCCTGTATTCTGCATTCAAATTCAACCTTCCAAAATGAATCACTTCACACTTTTCTGGGTTGAATTCCATCTGCCACTTCTTCACCTAGCTCTGCATCCTGTCAATGTCCCGTTGCAACCTACAACAGCCCTCCACACGGTCCACAACTCCACCAACCTTCGTGTCATCGGCAAACTTACTAACCCACCCTTCCACTTCCTCATCCAAGTGGACAGTGGACAGTGAGGACACAAAGATCATCACCAAAGGGGCACCAATCTCTTCCCTCGCTTCCTGTAGTTACCTTGGGTATATCCCATCTGGCCCAGGGGACTTATCTATCCTCATGTGTTTCAAAATTTCTAGCACATCCTCCTTCCTAACATCAACCTGCCTGTTTCATGCTGTCCTCACAAACATCAAGGTCCCTCTCATTGGTATGTTAATAATTAGGGGTCACGATTTCAAGATTGTCAGCAAGAGAGCTAAGGGTGAGATGAGGAGTAACTTCTTTACTCAAAGAGATGTTAGGACTGGAATACGCTGCTTGGGAGAGTTGAGGAGGCAGAT